CTTTATCATTTATAATACCTAGATGTGTTTAAAAATGCAATTGAAAGCATTTTTGGTTTCAATCATAGTAGGCTATTTTTAAAAAAATTATATCGATTTTATATCTATATTAGCATTCTTTATCATTTATAATACCTAGATGTGTTTAAAAATGCAATTGAAAGCATTTTTGGTTTCAATCATAGTAGACTATTTTTAAAAAATTATATCGATTTTATATCTATATTAGCATTCTTTATCATTTATAATACCCAGATGTGTTTAAAAATGCAATTGAAAGCATTTTTGGTTTCAATCATAGTAGGCTATTTTTAAAAAAATTACATCGATTTTATATCTATATTAGCATTCTTTATCATTTATAATACCTAGATGTGTTTAAAAATGCAATTGAAAGCATTTTTGGTTTCAATCATAGTAGGCTATTTTTAAAAAAAATATATCGATTTTATATCTATATTAGCATTTTTTATCATTTATAATACCCAGATGTGTTTAAAAATGCAATTGAAAGCATTTTTGGTTTCAATCATAGTAGGCTATTTTTAAAAAAATTATATCGATTTTATATCTATATTAGCATTCTTTATCATTTATAATACCTAGATGTGTTTAAAAATGCAATTGAAAGCATTTTTGGTTTCAATCATAGTAGGCTATTTTTAAAAAAATTATATCGATTTTATATCTATATTAGCATTCTTTATCATTTATAATACCTAGATGTGTTTTAAAATGCAATTTAAAGCATTTTTGGTTTCGATCATAGTAGGCTATTTTCAAAAAATTATATCGATTTTATATCTATATTAGCATTCTTTATCATTTATAATTACTATATATGTTTATAATGCAATTTAAAGCATTTTTGGTTTCGATCATACTAGATTATTTTTGAAAAATGATATCGATTTTATATCTATATTAGCATTCTTTATCATTTGTAATTACTAGATATGTTTTAAAATGAAATTTAAAGCATTTTGGTTTCGATCATAGTAGGCTATTTTCAAAAAATTATATCGATTTTATATCTATATTAGCATTTTTTATCATCTATAATTACTAGATATGTTTTAAAATGCAATTTAAAGCATTTTTGGTTTCGATCATAGGAGGCTATTTTCAAAAAAAAAATATCGATTTTATATCTATATTAGCATTTTTTATCATCTATAATTACTAGATATGTTTTAAAATGCAATTTAAAGCATTTTTGGTTTCGATCATAGTAGGCTATTTTCAAAAAAAAAAATATCGATTTAATATCTATATTAGCATTCTTTATCATTTATAATTACTAGATATGTTTTAAAATGAAATTTAAAGCATTTTGGTTTCGATCATAGTAGGCTATTTTCAAAAAATTATATCGATTTTATATCTATATTAGCATTTTTTATCATCTATAATTACTAGATATGTTTTAAAATGCAATTTAAAGCATTTTTGGTTTCGATCATAGTAGGCTATTTTTGAAAAATAATATCGATTTTATATCTATATTAGCATTTTTTATCATTTATAATTACTAGATATGTTTTAAACGGCAATTTAAAGCATTTTTGGTTTCGATCGTAGTAGGCTATTTTCAAAAAAAAAAATATCGATTTTATATCTATATCAGCATTCTTGATCATTTGTAATTACTAAATATGTTTTAAAATGCAATTGAAAGCATTTTTGGTTTCGATCAAAGGAGGCATTTTCAAAAAATAATATCGATTTTATATCTATATTAGCATTCTTTATCATTTATAATTACTAGATATGTTTTAAACGGCAATTTAAAGCATTTTTGGTTTCGATCGTAGTAGGCATTTTCAAAAAAATATCGATTTTATATCTATATTAGCATTCTTTATCATTTACAATACCTAGATGTGTCTAAAAATGCAATTTAAAGCATTTTTGGTTTCAATCATAGTAGGCTATTTTTAAAAAAATTATATCGATTTTATATCTATATTAGCATTCTTTATCATTTATAATACCTAGATGTGTTTAAAAATGCAATTGAAAGCATTTTTGGTTTCAATCATAGTAGGCTATTTTTAAAAAAATTATATAGATTTTATATCTATATTAGCATTCTTTATCATTTATAATACCTAGATGTGTTTAAAAATGCAATTGAAAGCATTTTTGGTTTCAATCATAGTAGGCTATTTTTAAAAAAAATTATATCGATTTTATATCTATATTAGCATTCTTTATCATTTATAATACCTAGATGTGTTTAAAAATGCAATTGAAAGCATTTTTGGTTTCAATCATAGTAGGCTATTTTTAAAAAAATTATATCGATTTTATATCTATATTAGCATTCTTTATCATTTATAATACCTAGATGTGTTTAAAAATGCAATTGAAAGCATTTTTGGTTTCAATCATAGTAGACTATTTTTAAAAAATTATATCGATTTTATATCTATATTAGCATTCTTTATCATTTATAATACCTAGATGTGTTTAAAAATGCAATTGAAAGCATTTTTGGTTTCAATCATAGTAGGCTATTTTTAAAAAAATTATATCGATTTTATATCTATATTAGCATTCTTTATCATTTATAATACCCAGATGTGTTTAAAAATGCAATTGAAAGCATTTTTGGTTTCAATCATAGTAGGCTATTTTTAAAAAAATTACATCGATTTTATATCTATATTAGCATTCTTTATCATTTATAATACCTAGATGTGTTTAAAAATGCAATTGAAAGCATTTTTGGTTTCAATCATAGTAGGCTATTTTTAAAAAAATTATATCGATTTTATATCTATATTAGCATTCTTTATCATTTATAATACCTAGATGTGTTTAAAAATGCAATTGAAAGCATTTTTGGTTTCAATCATAGTAGGCTATTTTTAAAAAAATTATATCGATTTTATATCTATATTAGCATTCTTTATCATTTATAATACCCAGATGTGTTTAAAAATGCAATTGAAAGCATTTTTGGTTTCAATCATAGTAGGCTATTTTTAAAAAAATTATATCGATTTTATATCTATATTAGCATTCTTTATCATTTATAATACCTAGATGTGTTTAAAAATGCAATTGAAAGCATTTTTGGTTTCAATCATAGTAGGTAATTTTTAAAAAAAAAAATATATCGATTTTATATCTATATTAGCATTCTTTATCATTTATAATACCTAGATGTGTCTAAAAATGCAATTGAAAGCATTTTTGGTTTCAATCATTGTAGGCTATTTTTAGAAAAAATTATATCGATTTTATATCTATATTAGCATTCTTTATCATTTATAATACCCAGATGTGTTTAAAAATGCAATTGAAAGCATTTTTGGTTTCAATCATAGTAGGCTATTTTTAAAAAAATTATATCGATTTTATATCTATATTAGCATTCTTTATCATTTATAATACCTAGATGTGTTTAAAAAACGATTGAAAGCATTTTTGGTTTCAATCATAGTAGGCTATTTTTAAAAAAAATATATCGATTTTATATCTATATTGGCATTCTTTATCATTTATGATACCCAGATGTGTTTAAAAATGCAATTGAAAGCATTTTTGGTTTCAATCAAAGTAGGCTATTTTTAAAAAAATTATATCGATTTTATATCTATATTAGCATTCTTTATCATTTATAATACCTAGATGTGTTTAAAAATGCAATTGAAAGCATTTTTGGTTTCAATCATAGTAGGCTATTTTTAAAAAAAATTATATCGATTTTATATCTATATTAGCATTCTTTATCATTTATAATACCTAGATGTGTTTAAAAATGCAATTGAAAGCATTTTTGGTTATAGTAGGCTATTTTTAAAAAAATTATATCGATTTTATATCTATATTAGCATTCTTTATCATTTACAATACCTAGATGTGTCTAAAAATGCAATTGAAAGCATTTTTGGTTTCAATCATAGTAGGCTATTTTTAAAAAAAATTATATCGATTTTATATCTATATTAGCATTCTTTATCATTTATAATACCTAGATGTGTTTAAAAATGCAATTGAAAGCATTTTTGGTTATAGTAGGCTATTTTTAAAAAAATTATATCGATTTTATATCTATATTAGCATTCTTTATCATTTATAATACCTAGATGTGTTTAAAAATGCAATTGAAAGCATTTTTGGTTTCAATCATAGTAGGCTATTTTTAAAAAAATTATATCGATTTTATATCTATATTAGCATTCTTTATCATTTATAATACCTAGATGTGTTTAAAAATGCAATTGAAAGCATTTTTGGTTTCAATCAAAGTAGGCTATTTTTTAAAAAATTATATCGATTTTATATCTATATTAGCATTCTTTATCATTTATAATACCTAGATGTGTTTAAAAATCCAATTTAAAGCATTTTTGGTTTGGATCGCATTATAATTAGGGTGACGATCTGCGTTGTTTTACAACGGACAGTCCTGTTTTTCAAAACCCTGTCCTGTATAAATTTGAAAATTTTTTTACAGGTCCTCTATTTTTTTCACGAAAATTTCGGTTAATTTCAAATTTTCCTTTGTGTCCTTTATTTTCATAAAAATTAGATGGTCACCCTACATATAAATCATGGATAAAATGGACACTCCGCAGTAAATTTGAATTTATGAAGTTATATTATTGTCACATCAGTACGTGCATGCGATTTATGATATGTTTATGGTTTAAAAGCTTGTTTATGATGCAAATTGATATTTTTAGATAATCACATTTGAGACGAAAATTGCAATTTTTTGGGTTTATTCACACAAGATAAAATATAAAATTATAGGCAGTATCCAGAGCACATGAATATCTCAACAAAATAAACATACATTGAATGCTTAAATAAAATTCCATAATTCACAAAATAAACAAAACCGCAAAGAAATGACGGCATTAAGCTGATTCATCCATAAAGATAACAATGTACGTCCCTTATGCATTTCATAAATATATTCTTCACTAGTAGTAGGCATGCTTGTATAAGATAACAATTACTAACGCACTATTCAGCGGGAGTTACTAATTTTCAGACATAGAATATGTGACACAATAATAAAATAAATCAGAAAACATGTTAATTATGTTATTTAAAGTCTTTATTATACTTAATTCTACAGTACTGACATCAATCGTAGTCTACAGCAAAGAAATTTGCCCAAGAGTATGCGTTTGTGATGTTTTTGAAGGTCAGAAAAGAGCTGACTGCAGGTAATACAAAGAATTTTATTGAGTAATGCAAAATCATTAAAGTTTTTATATATATTTTTAGTGAACAGCACTTAGTGTCTGCGGAAATAAATCTTGCAAAAAGTGTCGAAATTTTAAATTTAAGTGGAAATGATATCACAACAGTGGATAATCACAACTTTAAGGAATATGATGATTTAATTAATTTATCGCTAGCAAAAAATTCCATTCATACCCTAGGACTGTTTGCATTTGAGAATTTAGAGAAATTAAAGCACCTTGATCTATCAGAAAATCGACTGGAATTCATGGATGATAAAATAATTGAGAGCAATATTGCATTAACTTATCTAGATCTATCAAGAAATAAATTCATGATGTTAGATGACAAGCCATTGTTAATATCAGCATCGTTGGAATTTCTGTCACTTCGTAGTTCCCATCTTTCACATATTTATGACTCATTTTTTAGTGAAATGCCCAAAATAATTGACTTGGATCTTTCCGATAATCTTTTAAACACCTTACAAAGCACAATTTTTGATCCTTTGGAGAAAATCCAGTATCTTAATATTGAGTATAATAGCTTCACATGTGACAGTTCTTTAGAGCACACCTTGAAAGTTCTAAAGATTAGAAGAGTCTTTGTAAAGACTGATAAATGCAATAAGCATTCCAAAAAGGTGATGTTTGAGAAAATGATAATGCTTGATACTTCAGAAAAGGAGACAAAGGAGGATGTTGAAATTGAGCGTGTCTGGGGTGGTCAATTGCCAAGTGTGACATTTAAAAATATTACAAACATTTCCAACAAAAGTATTTTGAAGCAGAAAATGGAGGAATATTTCATAGAGCTCAAAGATAACAGAGAAGAACAAGACGATTGCTTAAATGACGAGTTTATGTCCTTATTGTGTGAATGCAGACAAAATTTCATTTTCCTTTATGAGACTCAAATAGCAAAGACAAAAGCAATTGAAATACGATTGTATGCCGTTCTGTATGTTGGAATTTTCATTGGCGCCGTTTCAGGATGCTTTATATTTTATATTTTTAATGCTGTAAAAAAGAAATGTGGAAATGCCATCACAAAACAGATGAAAAGGCAAGAAATACGAGATCGTATTGTCCGGAATCACGAAGACGACATTAGAAGAAGAAGAAACGACAGTCAAGATCAACCGCTTATTTCGAATATTATTAATGTTCAAGATATTGTACGTACTAGTCATAACTTAAGACATAGAAATGATCAGACAGAAAGAATCATTGGAGAGCCATCAGCAACAGCACAATTAGTTGATAGATTATTTCGGGATAGAGATAGAAATATTTCAGAGATTATTCCAATTCCAGAATCGCCTGTCCAGAGGAGACAGAACATACATAACCCGCAGACTGTTCAAACAGACTCATTCTCATCATACATAGCAGTAAATCGATCACAAACAGAATTCAACCGTCAAATAGAAATACATCCAGACGAAGAAAATCAGGAACATCAAAATGAAAGAAGTGACATTTTTGAAAGTGATGCAGTTAGTGAATATGCATCAGCATTGGGTGACGGTTCAATTTTGAATATTGATAGGAGCTGCACTCCTCCACCTGCTTATCGAGAAATTTTTGAATAGATAAGAAGTCGTTCATAAATATGGTCTGACTGAGGAGGGGATGAGGAAGGTTCTTAATAGTCTTTACAAGTCAGTTCAAAAATATATTAAAAGCTGTCTGAAAATACCATCATTATAAAAATCCTTTTCATATTCTGCTTCCAGCATCCCTCTTATTTGCCTAAAATTGTAACTCATACAAAATTACTTTGTAAACTTGACTATTTTTAAGATACTAAAATATATCGTTTTTTTTGGATACAACACGCAATGTATACGTATCAAGCATATCTTTAAAGAAAATAAAAATATTTAATTAAAATGTATTACTTTTTAAATTAACTGATATTTCTTTCACTTATTTCATTTTCCAGGAGTTTCGCCTTTATACTTCACAAGCGCTCGCAGAAATTGATAGTACGAATAATAATCAAACGATTTGACTAGTGACTGATTAAGTTTGTTTTGTTGAATACTTCGGTATCAACATTACGAACTGTTTAAAATTTTTGCAAAGCTCAATCAAAAGCGAATTAAGTTTCCTCGGTTGAGCATACTAATAAAATACATAAAAATTATAAAATGAATGAAGCAGAACTAGTTCCAGCAAATTTGTATGTTAATTTCTTGACCAACGGAGTTTCAAAGAACACAGCATTACCGCCAATATTAATTTAAAGTCTCTTTAAATCGGACATAAACATTTCCTCAAAGTCAATAAACCTAGAATGAACAAGTAGATATGAAAACGTAAATGCAGATGATTTTTTATAAAAAAATGAACTTCCAGGATTTTATTAAGTAATGGTAAAAATTACACTTTTGGATATACATACGCAAAAGAATTGTTAACATCGTAAAATAAAACTTATAAAGTACTGAACATATTCACTTGCGCTTTTTATTGGGAGAGTATAAAATAGATCTTCGATTGTTGCAGAGTCGGAGACGATAAGCAGCCTATAAATGAATTTAAAGAAGAATAAATGAATGTGAATGTTTATGTGATATCAAATGAAACTTACTTCATTCAGGTCGAAATTGCCATAATGGAAGTCATTTTTTTCGTTTTTGAAGCAGTTTCTGCGTTTCCGTTTTGTTTTTTGTACTTTAATTTCTTCAGCAATTTGTGGTACGATTAACTGGAAAATAGATAAAAATTCCTCCTTTGTATAGTCAATTTTCGGTGGAGGTTCTTGTGGCAGTGGTGGAAAAGCTCGTTCGGAACTAGCATTTGATGCTGGAGAAGTACGTCTTTTTCCACGTGTTGTCGATGTTATTTTTAAAGGATCAATTTCTGGATCTAATATTGGACCGTCAGATGAAGATTGATCTGAACAATCTTCGTCACTTCTAATATACTTGACACCATCACCTAAGTCTGAATACTGCTCAGTTTGTTCTATTTTAACATTATTCAATGCACGCAGTAAATTCAATCGACTTCCATTTATTCCTTGCTGGACGGCATTTTGTTTCTTTGAAATGATTTTTGCATGTCTTGTTTCAACGATTGTATTCTTTGCAGCTATAACTGTTTTCTTCTCAACTCTTCCCGATGTACTTGATGGCTTACGAAAATTTGGCTTGATTAATGATTCTCGTTCTTGTGCTGCAACAGATGAAGCACTTGGTGATGTTTTAATTAAACTTTTCTTCTCCAGTCCCATCAATTGTTTCAATGCTCGTTCACTTTCATTCTTAACTCGAATCTCTTCACTACAAAAGTATTAAATACATTACTAAATACGTCTGAATCTTTATTGTTTTTTTTCCATTTTCATTTTGAACTTACTACTTTTGTTTGAGTTCATCTTCCGACATTCGTGCTTTGACATTATTGGGCGTTATAATGGAATTATTCTTTTGATAGTGATATTGCAGAGCTCTCGTTATAAATCCTTCAGCTACATCCATATCCATTTTAACATTACATTCTTTTGATAGCGTCTCATTGTACTGATTCATACACTTTTTCACAATGTCTATGAGCATTTTCTGTGAAAATTTTGTATTAATTCATAACATGAAAACATCAAATGACATCATCAAATTTTTACCTGTTCTCGACTAATGTCATCCATTTCGCTTTCCAAATCATCCATAAATTCACGAATTGCAGAAAACTATTTACGAGACAATAATATTTTCAATTTAAAGAATATATTCAAAAAATACACAAACATAAATGTGAATCATTAGCTATGGATATTTTGAATTATGTTGATGATAAAAAAAATAGTATGGCAAAAAGATCCGAAGATGTACTCACATTTTTTGAAGGATATGTTGATTCATTATTTTGATTTAATGACGTTGAATACAGTTTAGAGGATAATTTCTATATCAAGCACACACAGCACAGTCAGTCAGTTGTAATATGCAAAGAAGGAAAAAATGGACCAACAACAACAAATCAATGTCATGAAAATGTTATAACAACGAAAAATTAAATTTTATCAATATAATACAATAAAATGCATTTTAAATGACTTCATATCAATCAAATAGCATAATTAAATCTATAAAATTAACAATTATCGTCTAATTACAATCAAATTATGTTACACTTTAATCTCACCTGATGAAATTTTATGATTAGTCTTAAATGCTTCTGTAGGTAAGTTATGTCATCAAAAATATCCGTACGGATCGGAAATGACTTCATAAATTCACTAAATTCCATTATTCACCTACTCTTACAACAATTATCAATAAATTTAATTAATAAACTTTTTTCTTCTTTCTTTTCTCTCCTCTCCTCTATAATGTGAAACACAACTTGCTTGCTTGCTTGCTTTACACACTACTCTATGTTTCTTTCAAAAGTGTGACCGAGAAAACGACTTTTTGAATTTTCAGGACCGTTACTACATGAAACATATGATTTTTGTTTACTTAAATTCCATTTTATTAACCTGCTTAATACATTTTAATAGACATTCTTGTGACAAAAGCAATTAATAGTTGATTTAATTTGGTTCTTATAATTATTTTACATTGTTTTAAGGATATTTTTGTTGAAATCATACTTAAGCTAACAGCTTCTCCATGTAATAATTAATAATTATTGCTTGTAAACTTCAGTTTACCTTTTAAATAGATGTAACATGCTTTTATTGCTTTAATTAAATTTTAAATTCGTCTGTCAATCTCTGTATGGAGCTGTTAATTTTAATCTAAGGTTTTCCCATCCTTAATATTTTGCAGGATTTTAATGTGTTTAAATATAAGTTATCATCAAAAATGAAAGAAATGACATAATCAGGCTTATTTTAATTGGAACAGTTTTACTGTTTTAACAAAAAAACCGTCCACGTTAATATAATTTTTGAATTGTTTTTTCTAGTTTTTTTCGAAAATTGAAATCTCGATATAAACAAAGAATAATCACGAAATGTTTTGATGCTTTAAAAGCTATTAAAATGGCATTATGGCTGAATTTAGAACAGCAATATATGTGCTGAAAATCATGTAGTTTATAACAAAATATTCAAATTTTAAGATTATTGCTTTATTAAGATGTACTTTTGGTAAATCTTTTTTCATTGTTTTAAAATTGAGTCCGAAAATTTTCGAAATTTTCTTTCGAATTTGTTAAATTTATCTTCACCGTTAGATCCAAATTGTTTGAAGGTAAATTAATATAACATTGTTCTTGAATTGCTAGATACAAACATCGTTTTTTGAATACCTATTTTGTTCCTTTAAATTTATTCAAATGATAGATAAAACTTTCATTTAGGACGGTTGCATTTATCTATTACTAGAGTAATCCTTAAAAACAAACTTATCGAACACAAATATGTGCATCATATATTTAAAGAGATAAGAAATGAAAACAATGCTGCAGAGTGGAAGGAAAAAGAAAACATAACAATTTTTTGACATGCAGACAAATAACAACAAAGCATGGGGCAGCAAATTTTCAACAAATGTTTTATTCAACATGTGCGCGCCTTAATCTCAAATATCACAATACGTCATGATATTATTATTGATATCTTCAAGTCATTAATTGATAAAATTGCTGTAAATTTTAATCTTCCTCGAAATTAAAGAAAATACATCATAATTAAAAAAATTTGAACGTTAATATCCCAAATCCAGTTTATGGATACATGCAATAAACATCAATATCTCACGTAGACACTTTCAATTTTTGATTTCTCCATGCATCATTTTATGAATGAATTTTTTTTTGTAAGCTAAGCTAATAATGGTGTTCATAATAATAAATTAAAGCCACTTCGTTTTTAAAAATATAAAATAAATGTCCAAAAACTGCCGTAAATGCATTTGTAAAAGTTAAAATTTGAAAATTTCATGATCACATGTTGAGTAACACAACAACAACATCAGAAAAACATTGAATTGTGCGGTGTGTCGAAGTTTCGAAACATTTTGTTGTTGCATGAAAAAAATATTGTAAATTTGCTTAATAACACATTTAACAGCTTTAAATTGATTTAACCAATATTTAATAAAATTAATTAAAGGTTTTTGAGCATTAAGAAGTTAACTTATGTGTTGATAATAGACGAATTTTAGAAAACACGTTCTATTAACCGTCCTGAAAATTCAAAAAGTCGTTTTCTCGGTCACACTTTTGAAAGAAACATAGAGTAGTGTGTAAAGCAAGCAAGCAAGCAAGTTGTGTTTCACATTATAGAGGAGAGGAGAGAAAAGAAAGAAGAAAAAAGTTTATTAATTAAATTTATTGATAATTGTTGTAAGAGTAGGTGAATAATGGAATTTAGTGAATTTATGAAGTCATTTCCGATCCGTACGGATATTTTTGATGACATAACTTACCTACAGAAGCATTTAAGACTAATCATAAAATTTCATCAGGTGAGATTAAAGTGTAACATAATTTGATTGTAATTAGACGATAATTGTTAATTTTATAGATTTAATTATGCTATTTGATTGATATGAAGTCATTTAAAATGCATTTTATTGTATTATATTGATAAAATTTTATTTTTCGTTGTTATAACATTTTCATGACATTGATTTGTTGTTGTTGGTCCATTTTTTCCTTCTTTGCATATTACAACTGACTGACTGTGCTGTGTGTGCTTGATATAGAAATTATCCTCTAAACTGTATTCAACGTCATTAAATCAAAATAATGAATCAACATATCCTTCAAAAAATGTGAGTACATCTTCGGATCTTTTTGCCATACTATTTTTTTTATCATCAACATAATTCAAAATATCCATAGCTAATGATTCACATTTATGTTTGTGTATTTTTTGAATATATTCTTTAAATTGAAAATATTATTGTCTCGTAAATAGTTTTCTGCAATTCGTGAATTTATGGATGATTTGGAAAGCGAAATGGATGACATTAGTCGAGAACAGGTAAAAATTTGATGATGTCATTTGATGTTTTCATGTTATGAATTAATACAAAATTTTCACAGAAAATGCTCATAGACATTGTGAAAAAGTGTATGAATCAGTACAATGAGACGCTATCAAAAGAATGTAATGTTAAAATGGATATGGATGTAGCTGAAGGATTTATCTCGAGAGCTCTGCAATATCACTATCAAAAGAATAATTCCATTATAACGCCCAATAATGTCAAAGCACGAATGTCGGAAGATGAACTCAAACAAAAGTAGTAAGTTCAAAATGAAAATGGAAAAAAAAAACAATAAAGATTCAGACGTATTTAGTAATGTATTTAATACTTTTGTAGTGAAGAGATTCGAGTTAAGAATGAAAGTGAACGAGCATTGAAACAATTGATGGGACTGGAGAAGAAAAGTTTAATTAAAACATCACCAAGTGCTTCATCTGTTGCAGCACAAGAACGAGAATCATTAATCAAGCCAAATTTTCGTAAGCCATCAAGTACATCGGGAAGAGTTGAGAAGAAAACAGTTATAGCTGCAAAGAATACAATCGTTGAAACAAGACATGCAAAAATCATTTCAAAGAAACAAAATGCCGTCCAGCAAGGAATAAATGGAAGTCGATTGAATTTACTGCGTGCATTGAATAATGTTAAAATAGAACAAACTGAGCAGTATTCAGACTTTGGTGATGGTGTCAAGTATATTAGAAGTGACGAAGATTGTTCAGATCAATCTTCATCTGACGGTCCAATATTAGATCCAGAAATTGATCCTTTAAAAATAACATCGACAACACGTGGAAAAAGACGTACTTCTCCAGCATCAAATGCTAGTTCCGAACGAGCTTTTCCACCACTGCCACAAGAACCTCCACCGAAAATTGACTATACAAAGGAGGAATTTTTATCTATTTTCCAGTTAATCGTACCACAAATTGCTGAAGAAATTAAAGTACAAAAAACAAAACGGAAACGCAGAAACTGCTTCAAAAACGAAAAAAATGACTTCCATTATGGCAATTTCGACCTGAATGAAGTAAGTTTCATTTGATATCACATAAACATTCACATTCATTTATTCTTCTTTAAATTCATTTATAGGCTGCTTATCGTCTCAGACTCTGCAACAATCGAAGATCTATTTTATACTCTCCCAATAATAAGCGCAAGTGAATGAATAGTCAATATATCTGTTAAATGTAACTTACAAATGCTTGAAATGTGAATAATTCATTTATTTTTTTAATAAAAACTTCAGTTTCATTGAAATTACATAGCTCCGAATATTTTTCTTCTCAGTGGTGCTGGCAGGTTCTCTGTCAATGAAACTGGATTCATTTCAAGGGATAATAGCTCATTATCCGACATCCAGTAGAGGTGAATTAAGTGCTAAAAGATATTAGTGATAAATTTTATCTGACATTAAGTTTAAAAGTTGATTACTTACCGTGTCGAGCTTTTTAGCCACCTTCATAGTGTATGTATGGCTTCTATTTTCACTAGACTTTTTGGTTCTCTTGCCGCATTTTTGTTCATCTAATTCGTTAGTCTTTTTTACGACAACAATCGAATTGTTGTGTGAAAAAATGATTGTGTTTGGATTCCTTGGGTCTAAGCAAATGTCCTGTATAGCAAATGTTGATTCAGATAAATTCATTCCGAATTGGATATAAAACTCTTCTAAATCATACTCAAAAATTCTATTGTCTGCATAAGCAATTACAAGTGTTGGATGATTAACTCGAATTTTGATGGATGTAGGTGGACATGTGTATTTTGGTAAATTGTTGCTGTAAGCATATTTGCCTTTTTTCAAGCTCCATATACTAACATTATTACACAAACTTGCAAATACTAAATATTTTGAGCAACTTGAAACTGTCATTAAATGAACTAAGTCTTTGTGGTATTCAGCAAGACTGATTGTTTGATGATGCTCAATTAAGCCTGAGCTTAAATCAAAAAGCATGCATGTGGTGCCATTTACTGTTATGAGCGCATTTGAATCGTGCAAGAAGGTCATAGAAGTGCAATTAGTAAGTTCGTTTGGAATATTTTTAACACGTTTAAGCTCTGGTTTTGAGCCTTGAATGATGTCAAAATGGAAGAGTCTAACCGACGTTGCTGTCGAGTATGCAATCCATTTTCCATTATTCGAAATTGCAGCACACACCACCATTTCATCTTGTTTACTTCGGAGCTCTAAATACTTTTCAGGGTACTTGCTGATTTTATAGAAATTGCTTTGTCTTCCATTTGAAAATAATTTCAAATTTTCTAATCCATTTTCATCTTCGTCCTCAATTTCTGTTGATTCCCTTTTCTCTTCAGAAATGTTTTCACTTGGAGTTGCCAATTTCCATAATTCCAAATAATTCGGGTAAATCATTAGCATCATTCGTGATTCATCTGCTGTTATAGCAAAAGGACGTTTTAAGAATGGTCCAATTTTATCAACGATTTTTAAATCTCCTGTCGAAATTGATAAAAATCCATCAACTCCACCTGATACTATTTGCTCATTGTCTATCCTAGCTAATGTCAAAATATCATGTGTATGAAGTTTGTGCCTCTTTGCAGTTCTGATCCACTGATCAATATCTGTGTTGTCTTTAGTCGTTTTAATTTTAACATACTTCCTAACAATTTGCTCAATACCAGAGCAATAAAATGCATTTTCATCTTCAGAAGTAGTTAATGACATTAAATCGTAATTGGACGTTTGAATCCAATCAATTTGTGTACCAAGATTTCCATCCCAAAAAGTAATTCTTCCTCTCGAGTCTCCAGTTATAATTGTGAAATCCTTTAACACTTCTACGCACCAAACAATCGTTTCTTGATGCTGTTCAGCTCTTCCAGTACTCATTTTGTGTATTACATGACCAGTTTTCAGGCTCCAAATTTTTACAGCATCAATTGATCCGGAAATTATACAATCGCCTGTATCATTAAATTTACAACAGACTATTCTGTGATCTTGTCTATCCAAAACTTTGACATACTGTAAATCATCGTCACTAACATCAAAAACATTAATGAAACCTTCTTCAGTTCCAATGGCAATTCTCTCTGTTTTCTTATGATAATCTAGGCAAATTCCTTTGTCGCCTGTAAGCAATAAGTTTCTCTTTTTCGACAGTGTTTTTAAATCGTATTCAATTATTCCTTCTCCAGAAACTGAAATTGCGAATAATCTTTCAGCAACCCAACAAACTTGTTCTATAAAACAATCAGTACTTCCAGTAACAACGCGCTCTATAAATGGAGCACCAATAAAATTCCATATTTCTATGCTGAAATCATTCCTGAAAAGTGATAAAAATCATTTTAATAATTAGTGGATATGACAAAATTAAATAAATATTTATACCTTAATACTGCCAACTTTTTTAGCTCACGACAGTACGAAAAATGCTTGATTCCTCTTGCCTGTATATTATAGCACTTGATTCCATGTAATTTCACCTCGTTTGACATTTCTTTTAAGTGCATTTTTTAATTTTATAATTTTTTTTTACATAAACGATTTTTCACGTGTTTGTGTTTTTAACAAAATGTATTCGAATTATTTTTTTCTTTCGAAAAATCTGTTTCGAAAGAAACGCAAGAAATACATCTATTTATGTGAAGCATACATAGAGCGTCTTTTATAATATTTATATATATTGATATATATTTAAAATCATTGATATTTTCAAAAAGTTTGTTTGTAGCGTATTTTTGATTATTTGAATTCTTTTCCCAATCCACCAAAAAAAGAAAAAAATCAATTGTCAATCACAAATTGCTTATTAATTATTATTTGAATTTTCTCTTTCACTACATTCACGAGAAGCTCCTTACATTTTTAAATACTATTTAATTAATAGTTGCGAGCTATTACAGTAACTAGAAAGCTATTGAGATCTTCTTATCCCTTTAATATTTGGACATCAAAATAGACAATGCGATAAGAAGGGTTATGTTTCATGTAACAATGCGCTAAGCTAATATTAAAGCGGGATTTTGTTGAACATAAATTGATTTAAGTTTTAAACAAGTTCTAAGCAATTAAATAAGTGCAAACATAATAAAATTAAGGGAATTAAGCCATAAATTAGTAGTGTTAATGAAAATTGATAAAATCATAGTCAATTTTATGCAAAGAAATCAAACTTTATTAAAATATAGTTTTTGCTGGATTTAAATAATAAAAAAATAAACAATACGAGTAAGTAACAAAAAAATAAACATAATTAACAGTTACATTAAGTAATCATCAAACTGATTACATATTACATAAAAAGAAAAAAGTCTAATGAAATAAAAATATTATTTTTGAAAGTAGAGATGAAAGGAAAGGGATTTTCCTCGTGTTTAATGTGCGAAAGTCAAACGGATTTATTGATGGGTAGTCAGCTCGTTCTGAATATCATTCGGAAACGGTTTACAACTGATGTTGTAAGTGTAAACATATTTATCAATTATTATTAATATTTTAATAAACAAATAAAAAAACGTTATAATAGTTTGATGTCATGCTGCAAAATACAAAGATTTGTATGAAATGTATTGGACGTTTACAGCAGTTGAATGAATTTTGTGCCAATAATGAATTTGTTGCACCAAGTTCTAGTGACGATAATGACATTGGTAAAAAGCTCTGTTATATGTGTCGACTTCCATTTTCATTTTATGAAATTTTGCCACCGAACAAGTCAATTGCTAATGAAATAGATAAAAATAAATGGCTAAAGGCAAGTTAAAAAAAAGTAATATAAAAATTCCTCGATTTAATTTTAAAATCATTAATTATAGAACTGGAATCAAGAAGAAGAATTGAAAGTTATTTGTTGCTACTCGTGTTATAACTTTACTCTATTATACAGTGAAACAAAGGATCAATTATCTCGTCTATTAGACTATTACTACTCTGCTCTCAGTAATTGTAAAGTGCTAATTAAAGATTGTGAACAAAAAGATGATCAACCTAAAAGTTTGGCCAATGCTGAGCAATTCTTTGGATCACTTTCTTTGACACCTGTTGAACGTTCAAATAGATCACAACGAAGTCGAGTTAATTTTGCATCTGAAGTAGAAATGATTCCAGAACCTCCGATGAAGAAATTAAAAGTGCCCCCAAGAAACTTAAGTTTCAAGTCATTACCAACAGCACCGCACAAGACTAACTCTTTTGAAAATATAAATTCAATTGGTAACAAAGCTCCAGCTAGAATAATTACTCGAAAGTTAAGAAATTCAATTGGAGGTTTACCACGAACTGTTTCACCAATATTACCAAAGATACACAGATCTAGATATTCAACAGGCAGCAAAGTAAACACTCCAAATTTGGAAATTTTAAAGAAAGAGAACAATTTAAAGGAATGCGTTGTTTCGGTGGAAAGATTGCAAGTAATTCCAGGAAGAAATGATTCTGATAATGGAAGTAAGGGCAGTGCAAAAAAGAAGCCAATCAAAATTAAAGTAAGTGCTAAATCAAAACTAGAAGATCGTAAAATGAAGAGATCTTTGCGTTTGAAAAAGGATAAAACATCTGATGAATTAGAAAATAGCTTAAATCTTGAAGTTGTCATGACTGAAGACAATTTGAATAACAGCCAATCAAGCACAATGTCGGTCGATCCTTTAAATGCTTCTGAAAACGATTCATCCTTATTAGACAAAACATTACTAATTCCAAGTCCTGAGCATTCTACTGAACCTATTATTCAAGCAAAAGATGAAGACAATAACAATAAAGTCTCTTCGAAGGAAAACAATGATTTAGCAATAAATCGTAGCACAAGAAAGACAAGAAATAGTGCAGGAAAGCTGACTGAATCCACAAATGTTCCTGAAAATAATCGAGTCATTAAAAAGCGTGAGACAAAGACCACTAAAACCGAAAAGGATTTAATTTCTCCAATGAAAGATCTTGAGGTTTTGGAACCTGAAAGCAATGAGAACGTAAACTTGATTGAAGATGGTGCATGCGAAGAATACTTATCATCGCATGAAGGTTAGATGCATTCTATATTTTATTGCATTCTATACAAATTTTACTGAATATAAAATTTCATTACAAGAATCTGAAGAACATTTAGAAGAATCATATCTGTTAGAAATCGAGTTCCTCAATCCACAGTACAATAAGAAAGGTACAAATAGCATTACTCATTGAAAAAAAAATTTATATATATTTGTTGAAGTTATTTTGTTTTAAGTTTAGGATTATTCAAATCCCAAATTTTTACACTTATTGCTAGAATTATTTAGACTTTATTTTCTTTTTGATTTGTTTAAGGCAATCATAAGTTTATTGAAATAATTTTTTTTGCCATAAAAAGCGTAAAGGATGATATTATAAAAACTTTTGTTATACCGCGATGTTGAACAGAACTATTACATAAATCTCCTTGACAAAAACACATAAACACTTTTTTATAATTGTAAACTGTGTAAGCACAACGATCTTCTGAATCATCTGGGCCTCTCTGGACGCACATTCTTTGTGTTGCCATATCAAAATCTTGAAAATGAAATCAAATGATTCACAATTAATAATCATTGAAGCTTATTCATATTACAATGGTGTGCCAAATAATGAGAGGCTAATTCATTTATGAGGTTCCGGAAGGAAGTTCTGATTTTTGATCTTTTGATTACTTTACATGCTTCATGTCGCTTTTATTCATTTCATGTTAAAATGTGTCAAATTCAAGAAAACTTGTAAGGCTGCTTAAAACCTCAAAACTTGGAACCATCAAGACTTTCTTGCAAATTTAAGCAAGTAAGTAGAATTTATTATTTAATTAAGCCTATTGGCACACCCTGATTTCATGACTTACCGTCTTCTCTAAATGCCCCCGTTTCACCTTCAATGACTTTTCCACACCATCCGCTTGCACAAGGAATTGCTGTTACACCAGGTTCCATGTCAATATGTGATGCATTAAATCGAAACGGATCTTTACAGCTTCCTAAATCTCCGCGCGATCTACATTGATAGCACCTTTTGATCAGTCCTAAAATGAATTAAATTTTATAATTAACTTCCATGTTTTAAACATTTTTAATTCTTCCTTCTTTTAAGTTAGACTAAGGCAGCAAAAAAAAACTTGTTGACCTCGAAGTACATTTACTCAGTCTTTCAATATTGGCGAAAGTGAAAGAACTTAAATGTCAAAAGAAAGTTTTAAGATTATTGAACTAACCATTTGCACTATCACTAATTAATGATATCACAGCTACAAGGAATATGAATTTATGTAACATAATTAAATAGACACGTTTATGAGACTTAAAATTTAACAAAAAATTGAAAAATATTAGTAACAAAAAAAGAATTCAACAATCATGAATTAACACTAATACTATTGTAACTTCTGGTATGTTGAGTAATCATTAAAACTCCTCAAATGTTTCACATTTTATAAAATTATTGAAACTCACCATCTTGCCTTTCCACCACAAATTCATCTGTAACGAATTTATTTAATTCTTTATTTTTAGCAGTTACATTTCAATCTACAATAAATAATGAAGAGCTGGATTTGTTGTCAGCATCACAAGAAAATTTTTCGTCACTATCAACTGAAGATTTAAATATAGATAATGCCGAGTATTTAGAAGAGTCACTAGAAGAAATCATGAATACGCGACACTCACCACAAAATGATGCCTTATGTCCAATTTATACAATGGACCAATTATTAAATGAAGATTCACTATTAAGCGTAACATGAACTGATGAAAAACAAATTAGACCCTTTTTTGACAGAATTAATAAAAATTTTACACGCTTTTTTTATTTTATATTTGTGAAGCATTTTCTAATGAATGTCCCTAGTACAAGTTTCTATGAAATATAGAATATGGAGATATTAAATAACTTACTAGAAAATTTTGCTCAAATGTCTCAGAATTTAGATCTAATCTTTTATCATGTGAAATTGTTGGCTGTTTATTAAATCCCTTTAAATTCTAAGACTTCCACAATGAATGATTTCTAGATATTCATGACTGAGCAATTGTTAATTGATATTAAGTATTGAATTTTTAATTATTGTTCTTTTCATTATAGGTTGTAATTTATGATTATGGAATGCAGTAAATTGATATCAAATATTATTGTTTTAAAAAAATTTAGTATCAAAGCATCAAGCACCTCAAAAAAGGAAAGATCAATTTTAGACTTGGAAGTTGGTAAAAGCTTTGGACACACTTTATCTATATTTAAAACTGAAATACAAACAGTCAACTTTCGATCTTAGTATTTGAAACCCTAAAAACACAATCTTAATATCCAAGTCTTGCGATCTTTCCTTATTATGATATTACAAATTTAAAGTCATTTAATCCTTGCTTTCAGTCAAAGTTTTATCGAACATAAAAACTCCTAAACCTTCACCACAACGTTTTAAATTTGTTACATGATCAGCAATCTCCTTTATAGCTTCAACTTGTTCTTGCAAAAATTCACTTTCCAAAAAATCACACATATTCACATCACTATGATTTGTGGCGATTCCATGAACTTCGAGTAATGACTAAATTATTAAAAACTTCGTTAATATTAACAAGTATACATCTTTAAGTACAATACCTCACCTCGTTAACATTCTTTTCTAGCTCAAGTGCCTTTTCCATAGCTTCGGATGCTGTATATTCGCAACTTGTTTCTGGATTTTTGATATCCTGTAAAATAATTCTACCTCCTCTTTTATTCAAATATTTTAATAGCTTCATTGCATGTTCTCTTTCTTCGTCTGATGAATGCTTGAAATACCAATGCATTCCTGGCAATGCGACGTCATCGCGATCAAAATAGTAAGCCTAAGAAAAATCGTAAAAATTGCATAATTTTTTTCCGAAGCAAATTATAAAATTTTCTGAAATCTTACCATAGATAAATAAACGTATGAAGCATATAGTTCCAAATTGATTTGCTTATTAATTGCAGCTTCGCAGTCTGCGTGAAAATTCTGACGGACTTGACTTGCCATTTTTATCTTTTTAAAGCTATTAAAATTTTTATTATTATTTCAGATAAATGAGTCACTTTACTTTTCTTTCTCTCAAAACGCAATAATAAAACTTGTTGTTGTCGGCATGTAATGTACATTTTGCGCATGTTCTTAAAAATTTAGACTACACGTGGTCCACGTTTTTGGAATTATTTTTAAAATTTCATAACATTTATGTCCATAAAATAAAAGTCAATATTTTTATTCTTGCCTCAATCCAATTAAAAATTTAATTTTATGGCCTTGTTCGAGGCTGCCCGATTTTGATAAGAATCAGCCATAAATCAATGACGAAGGGAGAGGGAAAAAAATTCCTCTTTGGAGACAAAAAAGTTATTGTCCCTTTTTTTTCATGCCTATCAATAATATGCAACATACATGTCACCTGTTTTCAATTTCTTAAAGAACTTAGCAAGTGTAGCAAGCAGAAGGAAGAGGACGAGGAAATGAGAAGAGAGAGATAATGAACAAGAAAATTGAATTATGTGTGTTGAGTTCAATACAGGGCGCCAATGAATTTTATTTTTGAAAAATGATGTTTCGCTTCTTGCTTCTGCTTTCAAACATAAATTTATGTGATGACAGGGATCCTTTGTTTTCCCTTTCTGTAGTCCGTATCCTTTTAAACAGAATCTTTTTATTTATTTTCTTCACTATCAGTGAATGAATGTCTCACAATAGGAATTTGAGCAACTTTTTTTCTTGATTTTTGCTCGTTGATAAAGTTTTTGAAGAATTCACATGTTTTTAACATCTGCAAAGCAGAATCATTAATCAGCCATTCCTAAAAATGAACTTTAAATTCAAATTGACAAAATTCAATCCATCAAGGAATTATTTCAACTCACTTCGTAATGTCAGCACTTCCAAATATCTCAATAATGTTCAAGATAGTAACAAGCTATCAAACTACTATCCACCTTGTAGCATGTACTTTAAAGAAGTCGAATGTAAAGTTAATGAGCAAATAGCACTTGAGTTTGTCGCTTTTTACAACTACTTAGGAATGTTCAATCATTTCGCTCGATCTGATGTAGCTCTCAGTGGATGCAAGCAGTTTTTCTTAAAATGTGCTGAAGAAGAGAAGAAGCATGCCTTAAAATTGTGCAATTATCAAAACATGCGTGGTGGATCTGTCAATTTGTTGGATCTGTCAATTCTGTACAGTCAAGGATGCATTTAGTTACTCTCTGCAGATTGAGAAGAAAATTACTGAAAAATTGATAGAACTGAAAAATGTTGCTAAGAAGTGCGACGATTGTGTAACTCATGACATGATTGTCAACGACTTTATAAAGCATCAGGTGAGCATGTGGAACTAATTATTTGATAATTTCTAATATTTCTCAAATTTAGTACAAGTCAATTCATTCTTTGAATGGATATCTCAAGAAGCTGGAGCTGTTGAAGGACAATAATTCTGGAATTTATCATTTCGACAAGGAACTATTCTACAATTTTAAAATCCCTCGTATCACGTTGATGTCTAAAACTAGCTTCACATAATCGAATTGAAATTAAATTGCTATAAATTTGAAATTTAATAAATTTATGCCATGCGCTTAAAGAGAAATAGAGAATCAGAAACAAGATATTTGACGATTTTATTTGAGTATAAACGGATTACAATTTATGTGATAATAAAAAAGCTCATAGTTGCTTGTATTTTACGACCAAACACTATGACAATAATATAAAAATATGTAAATTGAAATGTTTATTATAGTCTCTATCCTATGTAGAGTGTATAAATATTTATATTTTACTATCAATATGAAGAGCAATGGGAAGCTGTGAGTAGTGGCATTAAGAATTCATAAATTTTCGATTTTCTCTTCTCATTTCATTTCTCTGGATGTTCAGGTATCAATTTCACACTTACATATATGCATACACGTTTGTATATGCTGTGCCTGTGAGAAATTATTATTGTGCAACATGATATAATGAAAAATGATTCTTTTTATTGTAAATTATGCAGATGCCAAAACTTGAAACGCCCAGTTTTCTTTTGTTAGCTGTTGAAAAGGTAAGTTTAAGTAGTTTTTCCTGTGTAAGTAATAATAAAATATTTACTTAACTTTTCAACATGTTGTTCCATTGGATTTATTTCTCTTTTAATTCAATTTTTTTAAGGAACACTCTTATGATTCAAACTGCACAAATGGAGCGCATTCTTTTTGAGTTGTAGCTATTATCATTTATGAAATTTAATTCTTTTGGAGTGAAAGCAGGGAAGGAAGGAGCTGGTCCTTAAAAATAATTTCTTAAAATTTTTGTAACGTCATCTAGGCCTTGTCAATCAGGTTTTAAATCTGTTTTGAGTTTTTATTAAGCTTTGTTTAGCTTCAACGCAAGCAAAAAAATGAGCTGCATACACCTGTTATTCTGTAATCTATCAACTTACTGCCATTTGCCATTAAAACCCAAACCAGAATTTGGTACCTATATTCTGAGTGTTTGGTACTCATGCTTTGAACATCATATATGTAAATCACAAATACCTCGTCGAAAAAAAAAATAAGGAACTTTTAAGGCTAAAGCTGCAACACGTTCAATACATCTATCTATCAAGTATGTCAACAAAGTGCACATAAAATCCACAATTCACATAAGTTGAAAAATTTTGTTGAAAAGTTTCTTAATGGGCCGTTCACTTATTACGTTACGCAAAAAAACCACTTTTTTCACCCCCCTCCCCCCTTGTTACAATTTGTTACATCTCAGCACCCCACCCCCCCCCCCCCCCCCAGAACGTTCATAATTTATTTTATCATTAAAAAGGTGAAAAATTTAAAAAAATGTTTTTGGTGTGAATTTGTAAACAAATTTTTTTCGTGAACTTTTTTTTAAAAGACAGACGACAATTAGAACGTTATATACTTCTTGACCCCCCCCCCCCCCTATGTTACATTTTGTTACAATTTTTCAAACCCCCCTCCCCCCCCTAAAATGCGAATGTAATAAGTGAACGGCCCCTAAAATAAAACACATTGGCAATTCCAACAAATTAAATTAAATGTTCGTAAATCATGATTTGTATAATACTTATGAGCACATACTCACGAGAACTGATACTTATGATCGAAAAGTGATAAGAAAATGTTAATCCACCTTTTCTTGTATATTCATATATAGGATGGCGAGGCACGTAATTTAATAACATGAAGCATAATGTGAAATTCATTGAAGGAAAGGCGCTTAAAAGAAAATAACAGAGATTATTAATGAATCATCTTTTTATTCAATTTCCATTTTTTATACACATAGCAATTTGCCTTGCTTTTTTTCATATAATGATAGGTGTCATACATCGGGTGGCGTGCAATTAGGATCGATTAAATGGGTGGTCTAGATATCATGCGATCTCTTCTCAAACATATTGCCATTTAAACATGTTCTTCCTCCACTCGCTCTCTCGTGGGCTTTCGTCTCCTCTTTTTTCAATTAGGCAATTTTACCCTCCGCACATACTCTTCTTTTCAACATCATACATATTATTGGAAATTTATGATATGGATTTTTTACTCTTGTGCTGTGTGTTGAAGGAATTTTTAATGGGCAGTTGCCGTTGCATAAATTATTGTCTTGATAACACAGCTAATATGATGCGAAAGATTCATGCCACAATAAATTACGCGTGGTCTCTTCTTTTGACTTTATGTATGCTTTAAAAACAAATGATTAATTGGTAACAAGTTTCTTAAGATTCGCATAAATTTTTCTTGGGTATTGTAATGGAACTAAGGAACATGAACATTGAAAAAAATGTTATTGAATTTTCAATTTTTAATTAATGAATTGTGGGTTTGTTGAAAATTTAGGGATTGATTCCTTCAAATAATTTAATTTAAACTTCAATAATGAATGGCTTTCCGTGCCAAAGAGCCTGGGTTCAATCCCAGGCCTAGTCAAGTTTTAGAAGCTCTTTTTCCATTTCAACGATCTAGTTACGAAGCTCGGTAAGTATTGATGTCTTTTGTACAGAATATGCCTCCTTTGCCAGGTATACAAGGATATACTAACATCTGGATTACTTCCATACGGCATCTTGCGCACACAAACTGTGACCAGGTACATTGCAGGGTACATCAGGTCTTATGATGCAATGTGCACAGCTTGCAAGCGGTTCAGAACCCACTATAAACTGTAGGTCTAAAGCGTGTGATACAATAGATTCTTTATAAAATTCGAGAATTTTATGGTAACCTGACAATATGAGCCTTATTTTTGATGATATTTTCAACTTTTGCATAAAAATTATTCTTTCCTCATACAGCCATTAAGACACCTTAATCTTTAGCTTAAAAAGCTAGAGCAGCTGTTGTGTTCCATTCTAATTAATGGTAAATTTAATTTCTAATATTAAGGATCAATTAATTGACTAGCTAGAAGAAGTTGACACTTAAAATGAGTGTCAATGCCTTTATTGACTATAATGGTAGCAAAACATAACAAATTTTTTTTTGAGATTTCCGGTCTGTTGCACTACCTTAGATAATTTAAAATAATGGATTCTTCATTTAAATCCTTTTCAAAGATAGATTTTCAATAAGGATCTGCCTTACTTTCACTAATTTGAGCTATAAATGGTTTTATACTTTGCTTCCATTAATGTTTGAAATAAATGTCTTCGAATTCAATTTCATTCCAAAGCAGACACTATAGCTATCATCCTGGCTATGTTGTTGTTTTTTAATATTTTTTATTAATTTTATATAATTAATATTTCTGCTAAGCACAAACGCTACAAGCATATATCCTATCAATATGCCATAAATTAATATTCTTTTCGTCTGTTTGAGGAATTTTGATTATTATTTATTTGTTTTCTGCTTCATGCTTTATTTATTTCATTTATAACATGGATATATAATTAAAATGGTGTTGTATTTCACCTGTTAATATGAAATATATTCGATTTTAATTATTGACAGCATTTAATAGCTGAGCAACAACACATGTTCGGTGAAATATGAACTCAAAATTCTTGGAATGTCTTTCTTTATGTTTGTAAAAGAAGGTGTAAATTACTTAAAAATTAGTTCACTGATAAATATTAAGTTAAGCAATCGAAATTCAGGCTGATAATCATAATTTTAATTTCGCACTTCTTACTGGAATCAAAAATAAAATCTCGAGGAATTTAAAGCATTTAATGCTTTGCCCACAAAATGAACGAAACAACTGATATTTATAAAATATTCAAATTATGTAATTAAGAACATCCAAAAACGAGCTATTTGCTTTTTCCTCTGTTCTTCTTTTACCAAATTTTAGCATAAATTTTAATATAATTTTATTTCTTGTTCTTTCTTTCTTTTCCTTTTGTTTGTTCAGCGAAACTGATTAAAATAAACTGATAATAATTTTGGACTATAACAAGACATGCTCGTCATCATTTTTCTGCTAATGATGGCATTTTATGGTGGTTAAAATTTTTTCTTAGCTATTCCATAATCAACGTTACTAATTGTTATGTTATGCATAGAAACTTCTCTTTAATTAAATTTCTTCTGCTGTTTCGTGTGTAGGTTCTGGATTTTATTACAATTTATTCACAGTCTTGTTAATAAAGAATTTCGTTCCTTGGAATTTCAGTTTTATTTCTAATTTATACCAAATTGGTAGGCGACTGTTTTATTTTAAAGATATTAAATAAGGCTGTAAACCAAATAGCCAAATTTGGACATTTTTTGATAATTTTGCATTAAAAGTTCATATCGGAATATGAAATTGTTTGGCTTTTTCATACTAAGAGCTTGCAAGTCACATCAAGTCTTAAATTCAGTAGGCAAGATAAAGATGAGCGAGGCTTCCTCAATAATATATATACATCCTATTACAAAGCAGAACATGGTGTCTCTAATATTAAGTGATCTTTAGCATCCAAGTGGCTATTTTTCTATTTCCAGGCATTCATTGATTTAAAGTTTCGGGCAATAAACTAAATGCTGATAATTTCATTAAAATAATTAAAATATTTAAATGTTCAATAAAAGTAATAGCAAAACTGCTGCTCATGTAAAAAAAAATCCGTATATCAGCCTACACACTCATATTCCATGCCATTATTTTGATTACCAAGACATCGGAAATTGAGAGTGATAAAATAAAATAAAATATTTAATTGACACAAATTCCAACATAAAACTGACTTTATTGACTGAATAATTTCAACGC